CCAGACTGTACCTACCCACAACCCGAAATACCTGATCTCTCTGGGCTTTGTGGGATGGCAAAATAGAATTTGAGCTGATGCTTTTTCTTTTCTTTCTATCAGTAGAGCTTCAGGGAGTGTGAACATCACTTACAATGTGTTAGGATTGTTGCTGTAAAAAAAAATTACAGGTTGTTTTTACTAAGGAAAGAACAGGGATATAAAATAGCACATATGAGGCATAGGACATATTAGGAAACTGTCCCAAAAATAAATGCTTTCATGTTTCTACTTGTATTCTAGCAATTTACCATCTCAGTTTTTTTCATGTACCTGAATCATATTGTTCACTGATACTTTCTAAACACTGCAGACTGTTTAGGCTCTGGATGGGGAATATACTTCTGCTGGACAACATGCTTTCCATTTGCAGGTGCTCACTGAAGTGAATGAACTGAAAATGGATGTTCACCGTCTTCCCCAGTGTTTCCCAGAACTGCTGACCGCTTTGCTAAGGAAACAACAGCACAGGACAAGTGACATGGTTATTTTATACTTTAAGCCCATTCTTTGAATGCTGCCCCACAAACCTCCGCCTTATTCCTGTATTTTCTCACAGAGATTTCATCCTTTCCCTAGTAACAGCTCATTTCATTTCAAGAACAGGCTTTGAAATTATAAGAGTCTTAACAGTTGTTGCTACATTATATTCAAATATCCCAGACAGATCAGAGGAAGTACTCAATAGGAAAAAATACAGTATTCTTTGGCTTACTATTGTTACACAAATATGGAAGGAAAAGGGCTTGCCAAAAATGATCATTAATGGAATATAGTGCATCGTCCAGCTTTCTGCAATAAGCTTTATCTAAGATGAGGAGTGGTCTCCCCCACTCACACGCAGAGCAGAACTGATGATACGAAATCAACCAGTTAATTACAGTAAATGTAAAACAAGCTTGATAAATTTCTGGTGAGGGGACAAGAAACTGCTAGTTTGAAATACAACTTTATTTTTTTAATCAATATGCAATCTACAAAATGTTATTACAAGATAATCAGCATGATCTGTTTATACTGACAAAAGACCCGAATAAAATTATATTTTCCATTAAGAATAACAGAACTGCTTCAGAGTTATCAAAATTATAGCTAAGAACTATGAACTGCAGCAGTTAGTTACTGTGTTTAGTCAAAAAAAAGACAAAGAAATGTAAAATAGAGGTGTGGACAACACCAAGTCTGTCAAGTAAAAGAAACACAACTAAAAGCAACACATAAAAATACGTTTTCAGATGTAAAGTACTTTTGGACAATTAACAGGGAATCTGGAGGGAAAAAAAAAGGCAAGGAGCATAAGGATGACAGCAGCTTGGCATCATGTTCAATGGAGTGTGCACCGTCATCCTCATTTCTCAAGAACTGCTACACAGGGGCAGTCAGACCATAATTCCCAATCATTGCAAAGCTTCAGCTTTGACACCCCAATAACACCTCTTTTCCTCTCTTTTGTGCTCTTTTCTGGTTGGAATAAGCAGGCATTGCAGGTTGCTTACTTATTAGCATCAAGAATCTTCTACAGTGGGTTTTTTCCAGCTATTACCACTATCCCTTTCTTTTTTTTTTTTTGCCTCTCCTTTATTCTTAGAGACTTTGATGCAGATCCCATTTCGTCAGTTAAAAGACTTCCATTGACTTCAATGGGTATTTGAATCCAAAATTACATCAAGTACCATATTTACCTACAGTAATACAATTAGTACGAGAAAGATGAACGCAAAGAGAAAGTTTGCCAGTTTCAGCAAATACAACACTTTGTAAATAAGGCAAACACACTATAAAAATAGCTGTTTTCATTGATTTCCATTTAAAATATAAAACACCCCAAACCCTGCTGGTTCTTTGTGAAGGAAACACAGATTATATCTAAATATTGCCCTGTAGTAAATGTTAGTGAATGGTTAGACTACTTATAACCCAGATTTCTAAAGAATCAAATCCAGTATGTTTACTTGCTGTCACCTCCTGTAGCCTTCATAGAATATGCTAGCAAATGAGTATTAAAACATTGAGAATATTTGTTCAGGAGGTTATACTCAAAGGGCATCAGACAATGCAGAAGAAATCTTAGAAACGGGAAGGCAGGGTGTTTCTGCTTTGGCATGTTGTAATAGAACAGG